AAAAAAATAATAATAATAAAAAAATGACATAAATGTAAAGAAAAAAGGAAGGGGAGGGGAGCAGCCGGGGCAGGGAACTGTGAGAGCAGAGAAACAGTGGTGGCGTGTGGGAATTGATGAAGATGTGGTGCCCGTCTCCCACCCTACCGTTCGGCACAGTTGTCCTGGCAACGGAAGACTGTCATCTTCTTGTAGTCAAAGAAGGACACGCCGCGCAGCGTTCGCCGGCGAGTGTTGTCCACGTAGCAGCCGATGTATCTTGCTGGCGGAAAGGTAGAGGAGAGGGGGGTAAGAACCAGCCAGGGCTGAGCCCACCACCAATTCCCACCCCTCTCTTTTGATTTTTTCCCCTAAATAGGGGCGCGCAGCCATGCGCCTTGTTCGTTTTTGCTTTAGAAACACATGCGCTGGGTACAACGTGGCCCTGCGAACGCTGCAAGGAAAGGGAGGTAAAGCCCAGAAACACCCACTATGGATGGAAAGGATGCTGTGGCTCTGCACCGAGGCTTCTCCTCTCCATCCTCTTCCTTCCTGCCGGCCTCGAAACTGAGCAGAGCAGCTCCAAAAAGAGATGAATTCTATGGTAAAATAACCCAGCCCCTTCACTCTGCCCTGCCAGGAACACAGGGGTGGGCAGAATGGAGAAATATGGATTAAAACAAATTTTCCTCTACCAGCAGCTCATTTTCCCCAGCCCCAGCCATCGATGCGGAGGATGTTTGCCCAGCGCTAACACTTGGCAAAGTAAAGGCTGATGTCTGCACTGAGAGCAAGTGAAGATGCCAGTAGACAGGGAATAGAGCTGGATAAATAGATACGACGAAATCATTTCTTTGACAAGTGGAGCCTTTCCCAATAATCTGAAAACAAACAGCCATCTCCTCGCCTGCGTGCCTGTTGGAACGCTCCGGGTCGGCTGTGGGCTCTCCTCAGGGGCGAGCTGATCCATGAGCCATCCCTGGGCAGCCCTGTGCCGCCAGCAGCCACCCGGTCCCTGCTCAGTCTCCTCATTAGATGCCCTTATTAGTGCCCTTATTAGTGCTCTCATTAGTGCCCCACTCCTGCTCCCACCTCAGGAAGATGGATTGTCACCAATGCAGGGATGCGGCGCTGGTGCAGGGATGCTCAGCATCCTCGCTGCCACTGCTGCCCAAGGAGGATGGGGGTTTCGGGAGCCGGTGGGATTAGGAATCCGGTAATCAACTAATGAGGTGTCCATTAAGGTGTTCTGGCAGAGGATGTGCAGGTCGGCCACCCCAAGGAGAGGGGAGGGTGGCCTCAGGGACCTGTAGCTGGGTCGTACTGGCCCGGGGGCAATGGCAGAGCTGGCTTGGACCCCCAAACCAGTCTGGTTCTCCTTGCTGCCCGTTTCAGGTACACATCTTCCATGAATGTAACAGCAATCTTCTGTTTTTCATTATCCTGAAATATCCGCTCTGCTCTCAGGGCATCTTCTGCAGGATGCTGGCATGGGGTGACCCTGTCCCGGGGAAATCCTGGAACCCGTTTGGTGGCTTTGAGCTGCTGCTGCGGAGTCCCAGTGTGGGGACACAAAAGGAGAGGCTCCTGTCCCTTCAGGACCACCCGATCCCAAGCCAAGGAGTTATTTTTCACAGCACCAAACACCCCTCCAGCAGCACCCTGGCCCCAGCATTCTGGCCGAGGGGCTTTGGGAAAGCACCAGGACATCCAGCAGCAGAGGACTGGGCAGGAGCAGAG